TTGTTTTCGAAAACATAACTCCGATGCCCTGACGTAGACTCCACTAATGGCAGTTTTCGATGCAGTCATTAAATATATATCGCAATTAAGAAACCGGAATGAAACGGAGAATGTACAGTGTAAAGAAAAGGGTTACACTTTAGATTTGTTTTCCCCTACGGATCAGGCCGTTTGGATTTGAACATTCATTCATTCAAATCAACTAAGAGATGTGGTCTTGCGTCCTATGCACTGCAGGAGGTTAAATCTCCTGAAGCTGTGGCCTACTTAATGGGTCCCCAGGGCGTCTAGAAGCAAAGGGGGTGGTGCAACAGAACTGCTGGTGTGAAGTGGGAAACTAATTTTTCCTTACTTACACTGTGCATTCGCCATTTCAATCCGACATCTTTATTATAATATCATATTACATTTTGTTGTGTTATGCATTTCCAGTCTGACTGTCATAACACCATTAAAATTATCGAATTGTACTTTACCAGTTGACCCAACGTGATCAGGTTTAAAATTTCACGGTTCTGCATAGGTGGCTCAACGTGACTGTCTATTGCAGAAAAGAAACTTGAAGGTCTCTGGTGAGCCTTAAGTAACTTAGCTTTGAAGTACCGAGTTTTCAAATCCGACGTTCTCGGTCCCAAGCCCCGTTGAGAAAGAATGAGGGTTGGAAACCGCGGCGAAATTCCCACAAAAAAAAGCTGCCAGCCCTTCATGGTAATGACGTCATTAAATATTATACCGGCTCGGTCACCGAGAGGGTTACTAAGGGCGCTCAGGTTGTTAGGGACTAACGCAGACTGCGAAAAGTCGGCGATCAGAAACTACTCATCGCCCTCTGCCAGCCGGGCGGAGTGGAGTAGCAGCACAACAATGGCCGACAAAAATCGACGAAATGACGACGTAGATACCAGTCAGCAACGGAGTCGCTATCCGTTCTGAACGGAGGAGGCGACAGCGCGATACCGTTACAGCACGTTACAAAAGGACCAACGAGAATGACACCACTAGTGGGAGCTTAAAGTCGTAAATTGGAACATATCCTCACTCAGAGGTAAAGAACATGAATTAGTCAATGAGGCAACGAAGTACCAACTCGACATTGTTGGACTCTCGTCAACAAAACGCCCAGGCTCTGGACTCCTGAGCCTCAATGGGTGGAAATTGTTCTACTTTCCGCGCTCAGGCCGGTGTTGGCGTTCAGGTAGAACCCAACCTTGCGGATAGAATAATCGATTGGAAGCCTATCAGCGGAAGGGTGGTAATCCTCCGA